ACCCAAGGAGGGGTCGCTATGAGTCGGGTTTGACTCAACGGCACATAACAACAACAACAACAACTACCTTTTCTGGGGCATCTCACAGTTCTTTATATTAACTGTAAGTAAATTAGTAAGATGGTATCTTATGAAAAATAGTTTGCAGTTTTTGGGTTTTTTTCCTTTTTTTTTTGAGGTATATTACATACTCTTCTTTTGAAGAAGGGGTTGAGAGATGTGGTGTCAGCTGCTACTAAGTAAATGCATTTTCATATGGCTTTGCATGATGATTGAAGACTGTTAAACTGCTGGATATAATTTTTAAAAGTGCTTCTTGCTTTAAGGATAGTCTGTTCTTTTGGAAGGAAGAAAATAACTAATCCATATGACAAAACACAGCTAAGAAAATACTATCATTTTTGCAGATTTTATGTTAAAAAAAAGATTATGTTTAAGTATTTCATATATGTTTTACTTGGGTAACTTGTGTCTTAATGTAATATTTATTTAGAATTCTTTTCTAACAGATTCAGGTTAAACTTTCTTGCAGTCTGGAAAATGAGTTTAATGAGGTAGCAAAGCACTGTCAGTTGTTGAAAGAAGCAAATATATTACTTTCTCAGGTAGTGTTGATCATACTCGCAGTAAGAGAATTAGGCTTTCAGAAAACCGCAAGGCCAGTATACGTAGATACACTTCTCTCCTCCCCACAAAATCCTAAGATAAGGATTCTTTTGTTAACTACAGTTTTTCCATGAAACTTGATGGGGCACTATAGTATTTTTATTATGAGAATAATACTCATTGTTAAAAATTTTAAATATGATACTAATACATTATATAAGAAGTAAAAATCCTTGTTAAATATTATTGCTGGTTCCCTAACCCTGTTCCCTGATAATCAGGGAAATATTTTCTTCACATTAATTGATCAAGAGAATATGGAAAACAGTGAGTAAATATGTCTATGAGACAAACTATCATCATGAAGTTACTGGAAACAATGTAGAAGTTTTTAGTTTTGAATTAGATTTACTAGTTCCATGTTAAAGGTTCTAAGGCAGTTAGCTTTATGAGTAAATATTTTATTACAGTTAATCAAGGTGTGGCCTGTGGGCATAACTCCGGATAATTGAAATTAGAAGGGGCTTTCTTTTGCATGGTCTGTGTTAAGATGGGTTCAGAAAGATAGAAGGAAAAAAAATTTTTTTAATAGGTATGGTCACCTCACATCGACAAAGTATTATTGTTAAAGATTTTTGCTAAAAGAAGTTGTATTTTACCTAAAATTGTTTTATGTGCCAAAATTTGGTTAGTATGCTAAGTTAGTTTATAGGCAGTTTAACAAGAGCTAGATTAAGTAAACTAAATGAGCAAAATGAGTATCAGAATTCGGTACAGAGTAAGGATTATTCCCCCTAATAAAATATTGCCAGCCTATAGCAAACATTGCCCAAGGATAAGGTCATTGTTGAGTTTGTTATTCACAGCTGCTTCCTATTTGATTAGCTGTTACTGAGTCTGTCTGATTTGTTTTTAGGTGCTGAGGGCATAAATGGAGGAGAGGAATCTGCAAACCTGAATGATGCAGATGAAGGATTTTCATCAGGGGCTTCCCTCAGCAGTCAGCCAATTGGGACCAAACCATCGTCCTCCTCTCAGAGGGGAAGCTTCAGGAAAGCAGCCACTGGGCGTTCAGTCAAGGATAGAGAGTCAGCCTCTGCAGGCAAATCCAGTGAGAGCCCTCGAGAGTCGGTGGTTCGCAAGCAGTATGTACAGCAACCAGCTGATCTTGGTGTAGATTCCATGGAGCTGACACCGATGAAGAAACACCTGAGCCTGCCTGCTGGCCAGGTGGTGCCAAAAACCAATAGTTTAAGTCTAATCCGGACAGCCAGTGCTTCCTCAAGTAAATCATTTGACTATGTAAATGGCAGTCAAGCAACTACCAGCATTGGGGTTGGCACTGAGGGAGTTACTAATTTAGCTGCTAACAATGCTAATCGCTATTCAACTATCAGTCTACAGGAAGACCGGCTAGGTCAAGCTGGAGAAGGTAAAGAGCTCCTCAGCCCAGGAGCCCCCTTAACCAAGCAGTCCCGATCCCCAAGTTTCAATATGCAGCTAATATCCCAGGTGTAGCTTTGCCATCCTCTCTCCTCTTTCTGCTTACCGTATAAACTGAACATTTCATTGTGCAAGAAGACACTTCATCCCACATTGTGAAAATATTGGTCATTGTATTCAGATTTGATTTAGTGTAGGTATCTTCATACTGTATTTTGTACGGAAACAGCAATAAGGTTTTCTTTCCTCTCCTGTATCTTCTCTTCACCTATTCCTTGTAAATGTGTTTGTGAAGCAGTATGAAATGTTTGCCTTTTTCATGCCTTCCTTTCTCCTTGGGTGATGTGCAATCCATCGTAGGCTGATCAGTCCCATTTCAACACTGTGAGACTGAGGATATATTAGAGGAAATGGTGTATATGATCCCTATGAAATGATTATTTGGCTTTGTTTTAAAAAGACAAAACGGGTTTGTTCTCATAATCTATGGAACTATGAAGACTACTGGATCATATATTTTTCTCTCTTAACCAGGAGTGCCTCAGAGATTCTTCTATGACTTTGGACTTCTCTGAGTCTGTGCAATCATGTCTTGAGAAGCATGGGGAAAGGTGGCAGACTGCTGCACTTTTTCATTAAAATGAGGGTATCTTTATTTTCCCCATCTCTTTTTCCTTATCTTCTTTATCCTGACGACATAAATGTTCAATACTGAGGCATTCAAATCAAGTTGTGGCCTCCTCTGTTGGAGAGGGGGCTCTTAGTTGATTATGTAGTTGATAATGCACTTTCAATGGCTCTAAAGTCATAATTAACATACATGTCTTCCCTCCTCCCCACAAGGACATAGGGTCATTTCTGTCCTTCAAGTTTGAACAACTAACAAGTTAGAGCATCCAAGGGGCGTGTTCTGTTTCCCAGGAATGATTGATACTTTGGTGCTGAGGTTTTGTGGGGAGGGAGGGGTGGTTTCTGTTTAGCTTGTGTGGGATTGTGTGTGTGTGTTAGCAGAGATTTTGCTTGGTTTTTTGTTGTTTTCCTTTGTGAGGTGATGATGACTGAAGTAGAACAAGTACGTCTTCAGGTAAAGAAAGGGATTTCTCAGTCCACTTTCTGTGATGTCAGACTATTGGAGAAACCCTTTCAGCTGCTTTCTAGACGTACCTAAATTCAGTCAGATATTTTGGATTAAGAAACCCGAAGTCCTGATAGATCATATACTCCAAGGAAATACATCAGGGACAGATAATTGGCTGAAAACACTGACGCTTCAATGTGAAACATTTTTATAGAACATTTCTACCAGGGAGTACTGACTTGATTTCTCCTACAAGGACCACACTGCCTTTGTGTTTAATGTAATGCAATTTGTGTACCTTCTAATCACATATCTGCAAAAGTTTCTCATTTTTGTAAAACTTTGAAATCATGCCAGTAAGCTAGATGTTGAATGTATGTAAGCAGCATTTGGTAACTGTGCTAAGAGGCTACAAAAATACATTATTGATTTAAAAAAAAAAATGAAGTTCTGATTTGGTTGGTTGGATAAAATTTCATTATAACCTCTTCAGGGTCTCAGGCTCTACTGCTTGAAATAGAAGGGAATGTATTGGGTTTTTGAAAATCTGTATATTGTGAGCTAAAGTGTTTTTAAGTTATCCTTCCATACAACACATCAGAGCTATTAATACTTTGTACATTTAAACATTTTTACTTAAATATTATGAAAAAAATATATACTGAATTTATAGAAAGGAGGTATTCTCTGAATTAACAACAATTAAAATTTTAACTTTACCAACTAAAATTACAATAGATTTTGATTAAGAACATAATGAAAAAAAAATTCTTTGTTTATTTTTCACACTTAAAAATTCCCCTCCTTTTTCTCTTTTTTGATTATAAGAGTATTTTTTAAAGGGGCTTTCTGTTAAAATCTTTATAAGAACACTGATAATCTAGTTTGAATTTTGTGGTCTGTAACGTTTTTCAGATCATGTGGAAGTGGAAAACTAGCACCTGTGTCTAGTATCTACTACATTGCCAAAGTCTGCAGTAAAGCCAGAAGGTGATAGATGATTTACTGATCTGTGTGTGAGTGTTTGTGTAGGAGGTGTACATGTATGTGTATATATCAGAAAGATATATTTTAGATATCTTCTTAATGGATGTCAAATAAATTAAAAAAATTATTAAACAGCCAAAATAAATGAGGGGTAAATGTGACATGCTAAGAAAAGCAAAGTTTCAGTGTAAGAGAAAAAGAACATAGTACTTAACAAGGAGTGAGATCTTGGCTATGGCTGAAGGTTAGTCATTTTAGGGAATAACCACCTGCTTCATTCAGGAGGATTTGAAGGATTGTTGTTAATTCAACAAATTATGCATTTACTGGCATCTATATGTGGCATAATTCTAGTTAAAGCACAAAAGAAATATCAAATAACAGCAAAACTGTAATAAAGACAATAAGACAAAATTTCCTTTTGGTGTTTATTAGAACTTGTATGTCATACCTGTGAAATTAATTTTGAAAAAGTTTCAACTTAGAGGACTTCACTTATCAGTATGTGTATATGTATATATTTTGTATGTATACATATCCATTAATGTTATATGACCCTGTAACATTTGTGTTCCATTTTTTGAGACAATGTGATTTAGGACCAATGAGAAATAGCTCACTTAGTTGAAACTTTGCATTCAGGTTCTTAGAACAGATTTCCTATGTAAGATGTAGTTAAAATAGTTTAACAAGCTAAGCTTTTGGATATTCATTTGCATTTAATTTAAAATAGTTTGAGATATATAATGGCGCTGTTACAAATATTGACCAACAGCATTCATACATTATCCTTAAATAACCTTTTGTGTTATGCTTTATAATTTCCATTTTTAAAAAGTCCAGCCATCTATGAAAAAGCCATTTAGGGATAAAATACTTGTTTTCTATAATAAAACAATTGAATTGAGACCATCTATACCAGGTTGGATTCCGGGGGGAATAAAAAACACCTGAAGGCTTTGGAAACACTTCTCTATGACATTAATTAAAAATCATGTTACTAGACAACAAACAAAAAGTAAAGGGAAATTTGAGTTAGAAGTAATATTTTTAAATACGAAAATGTTTTAAGATGCTAGGAAGAAAAACAATTTTAATTTTAAATCCTGATCCCTACCATCACCCTGACCCTCCAATTCACTCTACTGTGCCTACTTATTATAGAATCAGAATTTTTGTGCTGGAAGACACCCTGGAGGTAATCTAGATAGTCTCCCAACTCTAGCCCCCATACCCATCCTCAGGAAACTGAGAATCAAAGAGGTTGTGACATGAGCATGGTCACATAACTCAGAAGCAGAGCCAGATCCAAACCCCTATTTCCTGCCTAATACATATTAACACCCCATGGCCTCCCTTTATGTGTACTATAATAAATGTGGTATGTAACAGTCTTCATGTCGTAGTTTATTTAGTTCTAGCCTAGTAGTTGGTGAATACAGCACATTAAGAAAAGTATTACATCCAGAAAAATGTAACCAATACAGATGAGGAAGTGCTGGAAATGTAGGTGTCTGTACAGATGTAAGGATAGATGTATTGTTCTTTATTCTTATTTTCTGCCACACAACAGTTGTATGCTGCCATCTTATAGTTGATTATAGTTTTAGGGATTTATTTAAAGGCAAAATAAAGCCAATGAAATGGTTTTGATCAGTGTTTTTAGCTATTTTAAAGTAATTTTTGAATCGGCCAGCTTTCACAATCACCAAAGTGGTGAGTTAACTGTATTGTACAATGGAGTATTGCAAAGTGAACATTAAATAAATTTTATTCCATTAATTTCTAATGTAGAAAAAGGTTGAACCTTGTGGTTGGAGCAGATGCAAGCAATATTTCCTTACATGATTGAAAAAGGCTTATAGTGTGAAGCATAAGATTCCCTAATGGAACAGTAACCATAATGTCATTTAAAGTGTATATACCATATCAAATGTCTTAAATGTGGGAGTTTCAGTTATATAAGCTCAATATTTCCAATCTATATTCTCAAATTCCACTTAGTGGCTTTAAATTAATTATAATTATTTATTAGACACTGGAATACTGAAAATAACTTCTAGACTGTTTGCACTATTTTTTGCAATATTATAATGAAGGGTTTGGGTGTTTTGTTTTGTTTTTTTCCCCTACTTCACTTTGTGAGGTAATATGGGTCCATTTTTGAGTGTTTTAGTTGTTGACAATCAGTTGCCTCATTTAACTCTCTGCATGTTCATTTGTAAATAGAAAAAAAATGGTATCTGTCTTGGAGGGTAGTACACTATTTATGCCAACACTGGCAAGGAGATCTCTCCATTCCTGATCTTGAATTACAAAATGTTTTTTTTTTTTTCTTTTTAAAATGTCAGTATTTCAGTTACTTACTTGTTTTTCATTTTAGAAAAAGTTTAATAGGCCATGCTGTTGTTGTTGTTGTGTGCCGTCGAGTTGGACCCGACTCATAGTGACCTCTCCTTGGGTTTCCGAGGCAGTATCACTACGGAAGTAGATTGCCCAACCTTCCTTCCAAGGAGTGGCTGGTGGGTTTGAACCTCCAGCCTTCTGGTTAGCAGTCAAGTGCCTTAGGCACTATGCTACCAGAGCTCCTATAGGCCATGTTAGTGGTCAGGAAATCTGTAGGAGTTCTAGGACAATTTTTCTATACTATGGCTATGTTAAACAGTCTGAACATGAGACTTTTTAAATGTTATTGTCATGTTTCAAACCACTAAGTTGTTTGAGACACTTATTTGTAATACTTTACTTTTTTAAAAAAGTGATTTTTAGAAACAAGTTGTTTGAAAACCAACTAGAAATTACTGATAGCTTAAGCTCTAAAAAGTTAGGATATTTATCAGATTATAAAAAGATAGAATGCAGTATAAAATTATTAACAGTGCTAATAAAATCATAACAAGTCACCACATTGGTACAAATTACCATTGCCAAGAATGTCACTTTGATAATATAAGACATAAATTTTAGTATTACCTCTGTTGTGTATACCTAGTGCGTATATCCTATTGACACTGAACATTCATTGGAAATATTCATAGTCAGCCAGTGTGTACTTAAACCATGTTAGACACTTGGCCATGACAGAAATGTGTGTGGTTATCCCAAGCCATTAGAATTGGAGGAATTGTCTTGCCCATCCTTCCCCTGCCCATGTACAAAACCTGACTACATACCATAAAATTTTGGTAACGTTAATCTATTCAGTATTTTGCATTTAAAATGATTTTAGCCCTTAGTCACATGAGAAATATACACAAGGGAGAACAGTTTAGGATAGATTGTTAGCAGAAAGCAATGATGAGAATTAACTGACAGCATAGTACAGAAATGTAGATTCTCTGCTTCTGAATTTTGAGGAAATGTTTTCATGATGTTTACAAATTCAGGCACTGTCAGATGTCTGCTGTTATGTTTAATACAGAATTTACCAAAATCAAGATTAGGTATAGATTAAAGTTATGAGTCTTTTTATTTTAACTGTGTCTGTGGAGGTAGAAGTAATAAAGAAATCCTTTTATTTCAAAGAAAAATAAACTTAATTGGACAATCCACCTCCAACTACAGAGTTCATATTGATCTGGTTTGCTAATCTGCGCATCAATATCAGAGGAAGTTCTTTACATCTTCACTGATTACAAAATTTACCAAAGAAAATGTATTGACCAAATATAATTTTTAATGTACCTGACTATTAAGGAATGAGGCCTCTTTAACAAAAAAGATTGCTTTCTAATCCTGGGGAAAATAAATATGAAAAGATACTTTGACCTAGAAAATAGGCATACAGTAACTACAAGATTCCATTTGAGATTTTATGATGTCAGTAAAATGTCAACATTTTATTATACTTCCAGCAAAGTACCAGTTAAAGGTTAAGTCTAAATATTCCTAATGGAACATTTTCATGTCCCCTAACTCAAATGAAGGATTCTGCTCATCAGTATTGAATTTTAAAAAAGGGGGAAATTTCTAAAATTGATACATGAATTAAAAAAAAAATTGAAGGGAAAATTATGGAAATTCACCTCATTAAATGGGCAATTTCAAATATTTCTAATAAGAATGTTGTTGTCATAAGCTGTCAAGTTGAACCCAACTCGTAGCAACCTCTCCTTGGGTTTCCGGGGCATACGGAAATGTATGGAAGTACGTTGCCCAACCTTCCTTCCAATCTAATAAGAATAGTAGGCGTTAAAATGGTACGATTTGTTTACATTGTTTATGTACAGGATCACTCAATGTTTTTTTTCTTTGCAGAAAAACAACTGGGTTAAGAAAAGCTAAAATATTAGTTTTGTAAGGTAAAAACCAACAAGAACTAAAGGATTTATTTAAACTATTAAATGATGACTTTTTTTAAACATGAAGTATAATTGTATATTAACTGATATTCCAAACAGGTTCTATGTATTTTATTTGTATATCAAGTGGTAATTAAAAAGTAATGAATGTATTGATCAGACTATCTTGAAAAGAGAATATTTGCCTAACAGTTGCTAATGTAGTTTTGATTTTTTAAGTTTTATCATCCAGGTACATTGAGAGATATTCTCTATGTGTTTTTAAACATTTGTAATAAGTTCATCCACTAATTTACAATGGATCTTTTTGGTTCTTAATCTAAAAATTATGCTGGCCTTACATTCATTTTAACTGGTTGAGTAAAACTATTTTTACAGTTCAAAGATTATTTTCCCATGATTTGGCTCTCTCAAGCTGCGATTGCTGAAGGATTTTTACTACTTTGGCATTGTGTAGTCTGATCTCTGTCACAGTGCAACCAATATCCCACTCTCAAATGTTTGCTTGATGAAAGGGTATGGAATGTATCGAACAGCTTTTCTTTTTGACCAGCATCAACCTATAGATTGGTATAAACATCTCAAGTATTTGGAGAATGTGCTGGTAGAAATTTTAAAAGGATAGGCATGCAGAAAATATGATCTCTACTGAATGATGTCCTTTCAACCTAGGACTAGTGAAAACTTTCATTTTTTTCAGAACTAAAGAAAAAAAAACATACATTTAAGATCATATTTATTGGTGCATGTAAGCCATTATCTTAACTGTCTTACTGAACTGGTTAATGCTGTTGATTGTTGAAATGTGAAATGTAGTCACTGTTGACCTTGTAAATTACCTGCCAGAGATGAGAAAATATTTTAAGTTATTGTAAATAAAGATGTATAAAATTCAATATCAGTCTGCAATGCAGAAATATCTAAGAT